TAAAAGTAATTGGAGGAGATCTCATGGCAATCCCTGGTTTACACCATTTTGTTCAGGTATGCTTACTTTTTTACCTAGTGTGTCTCTTAAGTACCAAACTCCATAGGCTAAGCTTGCATTGGATTTAAGTCAAAAGTTCCTTCACTCCCTTTTTTGTTGCAAAGGGACTGGTATCAAGTTTAATCATTTCTGAGAACTTTCACCAACTTGATCTGCGATTCCAAGGATAGAATCATAAGATTATTTCTTTGACCCGCAATCATTAGTATGCATCAAGGGAATTTACAGAACAAATAATTCAACTTGGCACTGATACAAAAACAATCTGCAATTTGAGTTAATTATGTTATTTCGACAGTTTAATTCTTAAAGTAAATAAACAAGCTGGAAGATGTTTGGTTACTAACAGATGTAAAATGCATTTGAGTCTGTAATGCAATAATAAGACAGGAAATAGTTAATACCGGACATCATAGAAAAGGCTTGGGTGAATACGTGGCTGCATATTAATTGTTGTAGAAAATGCGTACCCTGAAATCTTATACATTGGTTTTGATATGACTGAATTATAGTAGATAAAGTTACTGAATTAGGAAAGCTTATAAAAGGGAGTAACATAACATGATTTCTGCTTAAGAATTAAGATGTATTTCTCTCGAATAAGTCTGTTATACCAATTTTTCGTTTGTAAACATATAAATATCATGATACAATTGTATCTAAAGTTGGCCATTGTTGTTTACCTACACTCGAAAGTACATAGACTGAATAAAGTTTGCAGCTCTCCCTTGCATTTTATGTGTTTCTAGATTCAAACTGACTGTAACAGACAGGAATCTTTTAAATTATCCTTCTCAGCTAATTTTATCTGATAAATTCATTGGATGGCAGGAAACTATAAGCAAGCAAGTCGCCAGACTTTACCTCTGGCCACAAACGCTTGACATACCAATTCTTGACAGTTCAATGTAAGTTGTTAACAAACAATAATTTACTTGAAATATTGTCAATGGACTAACTTCTGACATCCATTTGCACTTCTGTTGTTGTGATACTTGTGAATTGTTGTTGTAGTAGCCTAATGCAATTTCTTAGACTTTGGTTTTCTCAAAATAGAGTCATCTTCCTTATTCTATTCCTCTAAAATTTCCTTTGTTCTTTGTCCAAGTCTTTCGAGTTCATGTATTTTACCATTCTTTGTGTACTGCAAAAGTTTCAAATTTCTATTGTTAAAATATGTAACATTCTACGATGGGCATCCAAAGGGATTTAAAAGGTTCTAGTCTGCTCTAGTTATTAAAATCAATTCTCGATACTCTACTTAAAGCCAAATTTTATATTGCCTCTACCTATTCTAAAGCTCTAGGCTTCTCTCGTGGTCATTGAATCACTAGGGCTGTTCTAGACACACTCTTTAGGCTGTTGAACGAAATCTTTGTCCCGCTCCACTCTTCTGCTTGTCGACCCACATAGATTATGCCTTACGGTTTGGTTAGATCAAAGTCTTAGAAATATGATGTCTCCCATATCGGATACCTAAATGCATCCAAAGTGGTTTAACCTTACAGAATTGGGTTGGATGCTCAAATTCTTTTTTATTTACTAACATTAGCTTTTGTATTTTTTTTATAGTGGAGCTGTAAAGAAGCCTGTTGGAATACTACATGTGAAGGTTCTGAGAGCCCAGAAACTTCTGAACATGGACTTTCTGAGTAAATCAGATCCATATGTTAAACTCAGCTTAGGTGGGGACATGCTTCCAGCAAAGAAGACTACTGTAAAGATGAACAGTCTAGATCCCGTGTGGGATGAGGATTTCAAATTGACGGTAAAGGATCCCGAGGCTCAAGTTCTGCAGCTGCATCTATATGACTGGGAAAAGGTCAGAATCTTAATTTGATTTATCATGGTATCGTGGCACCACATTGGTGTTTCAAACTTTTTACTTTAGAATCAAAGACCATCATAGTACTCCAAAGCTATACATACATACACTTCTTTGTAGTTTTCTGATGGCTAGAATCCTGGTTCTGATTTTCTGTTAAAAAGGAATTGTATTATGTACACCATGCATCTCAAATTTTAAAGACCCTCTTTTACTTTCTTGGAGTTTAAGAGTAAGATGGTTGAATATCAACTTGGTGGAGAAGCGTAAGATTTTGAAAACTAGAGAAGTTATCTAAATAGATGTAATATCAAAGTTGTGTACTATGAACTATTAAGAGCTTCAGTTTGAATCGTTTGAGGTGGTAAAATGCAAAGGTTTTGTTTATTTCCAGTTTGATGTTCAAAATTACTCGTCTGTTGTCTACGAGACACAATGGCGATGGCCGATGAATTAGAGTGTTTAGTTGACAGTTGAGACCAAGTTGAGGTGTCTAATGTGCACTCTCAAAATTGGAGTGCTTACTGTTTGAGTGTTTGTTTATGTGTTACACCTTTCTAAAAAAAGATATTGCAACAATCTCCTTGAAAACATGAATCGCTAGAAATACTTTACCTGTTGATTTTGATTATTTTTACCAAGAATAAGAACTAATATATCCTGATTTTCACTTTGTTTCACAGATTGGGGCGCATGACAAGTTGGGAATGCAAGTAGTTCCACTGAAATTGCTCAAGCCATATGAGAAGAAAGAACTAACTCTTGATTTGGTGAACAGCTTAAACCCAAACGACCCTCAGAATAAGAAGCCGCGAGGCCAACTTATGTTGGAAATGTCCTTCATTCCTTTCCAAGAAGATAGTGTAAAGTTTAGTGGACCTCTTAGTTTTCACGAAAGAAAGGAGAGTATTTCAAGCCTTTCAGATGACATTTCCTTACGTGGAGCAGGTTTGCTTTTGGTTACCGTTATTGCTGCTGAAGATGTAGAAGGGAAGAACCATACCAATCCTTATGCAGTCGTAGTGCTTCGAGGAGAAAAAAAGAAAACTAAGGTGATTCTTACACTCTCATATATACAGTTAACCATATAGTCGTATTCATAGTTTTGAACTTAATAGTTCAACCTTTAAGATTCAAAATTTAATATATATGTGTGTGTATACGTTCCGTTTTAAAAAAAAACTAGATTCACTTGAACCCATGCTCCGTTCACCTTTGGTTAACCATCTTATTGCTTTTGTTGCGTTAACCTTTATTTACCGACTACATTTAGGCAAGGAACAAAACGTGGAATCCAAAATGGGACGAAGAATTCCAGTTTATGTTGGAAGAAGCTCCATTGAAGGACCTAATCCATATTGAAGTCAAGAGCAAGAAGAGGAGATTTGGTTTTCGGTCTAAGGTAAACGAACCATCGTCAACAAATGTCCTCAGCTTCCATTACTGCAATCTTTGAATACAAAGAATGATATTTATTGCATTATAATTTCCTTTATCGTCTTTAGGAGGTACTTGGCTATGTCGATATCCAACTGAAAGATGTGATCTACAATGGACGTATCAACGAGAAGTACCATCTCATCAATTCTAAAGATGGGATTTTACATGTTGACATCAGATGGAAGGTGATCTAACAACTGCAGCCTCCTCTGTATTTCGGAATTATCCCTTTTGATATTAATCACATTGAGCTTAAAAGAAGAATCGAGGATCCATCTAGCCCACCCAGCTTGTTTGGGACTGAGGCGTAGTTTGGACAGTCTGATCAGAAGTTCTCCTAGTAGTTGTTGTGTTTTTCAAAATCACAGCACAATGCCCAGATCTTTTTGTTTGTTTATAAACCATGAAAAGAAATGCATACAAACATAACATGCACACATAAGCATGTTTATTGGTACTAGTATTGGTATATACCTTTTGTCTTCTCTTGTCATGTATATACTTGTTTGGGTATATCAATATCAATCCAATAATGAATGAACTACATCTCAAGTTAAACTTAGTTGAGGTCGATTATATGAATTCACCGTATAAAATATGGTATATTAAGGTTTATTTAATTAAATTCATATTGATACATTTATGACTCTATGATCTCTATGCAAATGGCAACTAGAGTTTAAAAACTTGTGGATGATTTGAATTATGAATTTGTATGAAAGTTTGTGTGTGTGTCTATGTGGAGAGGCACAAACCATAGATCCATTATTTGAATGAAGTAGAAATATGTGGTCCAAAATGTTGTGTGTTTGGCTTCTTGAAGGCCAATTGATATAGCAAATGAGACAGTTTGCAGCTGTGCCCTTGCAAGTGGCAACTGCCTTTGCTAATCACTTTCATTATTGTGAAACACTAGAAGTTGCATAATCTACGATTGGAACCTCCTAGCTGAGGTGATGTATTCGATAAGTTGGTACTACGTTAAATCTTGTCTAATCTCGTTTCTCTAATACATCTTCAGTCTATCGTACCTCTTGTGAAACCATTTATAACCATCATCTCATACCTTCACGTTGAGGCATGTGTGTGTCACCTCTTCACATGTCTAAACCACCACTACTTGATATTGCGCAATAACTTCATAAAGAAATTAACATTTAATACACACATCATTCTCCTAGTTCAAGTAAAGTACAATACTAAAGGTCCTCAAACTTTAAAATAGACTTTTTCCAAAAAATCTAGCACAGTATCGAGTTTATAGTCTAAATATAGGATACGTGAATTCATGAATTTTTTTTTGTAAATATATATATTTTTCAGAATTGATATAATATTTCCTGGTGACACTTATGCTAAAAAAAAAGCTAAATGATGCACTTAGTTAAATGTTTTGAGTTAATTAGGGATCAATACTCACAATACACATTTATATTTTCTTTTTTGGGATAATGCACGAGTATTCCTTAATTTTTGTTCGAAATTTCAGAGACACACTTATACAATATTTCTTGAAATTTATTTAATTAATAACTTTTTATGTCTTTTCAATCTACGTAGCAATATCTTGTGGCCCAAAGATGATTTGAGGTAGTCTCAAAATATCTCTTCAAACACCATATCCCAATAAAATATCCAACATCTCACATTATATATCTATCTACATACAACACACTCTTATCTTCACAATTCTTTAGTTTCAATAAAAACCTTATCTTCATCCCCTTCTTCTCCAATGGCTTCTTCATCTTCTTCCCTCCATTTCCTTTCACTTACACCACAAACACTCCCAAAACCCACTTCCCAAACAACTTCAATTTCCTTCTTTTCACTTCCTTCTTCCTCTTTAAACCTTTCTTTATCATCTTCTTCAACCCCAAGATACTTTGAGTCTTCTCGTTTTGTTCGTAAAGTAACCCTTTCTGATTTTGACCAAATTGAGGAAGTTGGGGCTGGTGATGATGATGAGGAGGAGGAAGGGGGTTTGAGTGATGAAGGTGCTTCATATCAAGAACGTAATGCCAATCCTGACCTTAAAATCTTTGTTGGTAATTTGCCTTTCAGTGTTGATAGTGCGTATCTTGCTGAGCTTTTTGAACGTGCTGGAGATGTTGAAATGGTTGAGGTAATTAAAAGATTCAATCTTTTTTATTGGGGTTTAGTTGTTTTGGTAATTTGAGATTTTGTTTGCTATGGTTGAGGTAATATAAAAAAAGATTGAATCTTTTCAAACTTAAAAGCAGTAGAATTGGCCTTTTGGGCTTGCATTGTTTGCCTCCTATTGCACTAGGAGTGGGGTTTACCTTGTTTGCACTTAGCATCCAAAGGTAACTGCACTGGATGAGCTTTGCTGCTTGTAATACATTGTTATGGGAGAAAGATTTTGATCTTATTTGTGGTGTTTATATAGTTTTGAGGTTTGTTTGGCTATGTTTAAGTGAGAACCCTTGTGAAGTTTTGAATCTTTAAGGTCTGTGCAAATCATAAAAGTAGTAAAGTTTAAGTGGATATCTCTGAGTTGATAAGACGTTCACAAAATTCGACATGTTAATAGAGCAGTAAATGAATAATTGTTTTAAGTAGGGTTCTTGTTTAGATGATTTGATGTTTTGTTTGGCTTTGTTTAAATAAGTAACCATGTGCATTTTGATTTTTTATGGTTTGTGCTAACCTAAAAGTAGTAAAGTGGCTATTTTCGATAAGATGTTCCCACAATTCAACATATTATCAGAGCAATCTCATACATGAGGGGATATATAGCATATCTAAGAGTGACAAGTAAATGTGTCTTATCCTCCCAACTTAAACTTTAAGATGAGGTTTTTTATACTATTCAACAAGGTTTTTACTGGATAAATTTATTTATGCCCTGCGGATCCTTTGGGGTTGCTCAAATGGTTTGGCTTTGGACTTTCCTAATGGAGGTCTCAAGTTTGAAGCCCCTTGCTTGCGACAGTAGGGGTTGGCCTTTTAGGGTGAGCTCGTCGCACGGGATTTGCCCAGTGCAGTTTACCTCTCATGTGTCGTTTGCGAGCTATGGCAAAGGAGTATGGTTCCCTTGTCATATTGAAGAAACTTTTATTTTTGCCTTAAGGTGTTATAGAAGGAAATTGTTCCGGCTTCTTTATTTTTCGCTGCACTTAAGCATAAATGGTCGTTGATTTCAATCTTGATTGGGAGAGTGAGGATGTGAAGAATTGGATAAGAGGTTTAAATGGACTTAATGGAGCTGCTAACTTTTGCAGGTTATCTATGACAAGCTTACAGGAAGAAGCAGAGGTTTTGGCTTTGTGACAATGTCCTCCAAAGAGGCAGTTGAAGCTGCCTGTCAACAATTTAATGGCTATGTAAATTCTTTTGCTTTGTTGTCTTTTCTTGGTGATGCGTGTGTCCAAATATTCTCTTTAGTCCTGAATTTCCGTTTTCTTGGATATCTTAATTTATTTTTGGAATTTGACTGTTCTGTTCAGTTTACGATTTGAAATGGTCTAACGGAAGACCAGTACTCCCTTTTAATATTAACATATTTTGCAAAGTGCCATAATGCAGATTTCAAAACTAATTCTGATGATGAAATGCCCCCCCAAAACTATAAAAAATTGTGGAACCTAATATGCTTGTTGTTAGTAATACTTTCTTTATGCAAAATTTCTTTGCTGAAATTCAACACTAAGCATATTTGATTCTTTTGGCAGGAAATTGACGGGAGGGCACTGAGGGTGAATTCTGGGCCAGCACCACCCAAAAGGGAGAATTCTTTCGGGGGCAATTCTTCTTACCAGGGAGGCAGGGGTGGAGGGAGTATGGACAGCTCCAACAGAGTCTACGTAGGAAACCTTGCATGGAGTGTTGACCAACAACAACTTGAGACCTTGTTCAGTGAGCAAGGAAAGGTCGTGGATGCCAAAGTAGTCTATGATAGAGATAGCGGTAGATCAAGGGGCTTTGGATTTGTAACATACAGTTCCGCTCAGGAGGTCAACGATGCAATTGAAAGCCTGGATGGTGTTGTAAGTCATTCTTACTCAGCTACATTATGTATCTTTCTTTATGTTCTGTATGTGCATGTGTCTGTCTTCACAAGTTGGTCTCATTTTCCATCCAGAGGCTGGATTTTTACCGGCTTAACATTGTGGGTTTCAATCCTCTAAATATTTTTCCCTTTGACTTGTCTTCGCTAGTAGATATGTAATATACCGTCAATCTAATCTGGTATAATATCATTCATGAATCTATTTTGCATTCTTTTCTATAAACTTCTATATGATTTTCTTCTAGTAAAATGAGCTTTTATGATCGTACTTTTGATTGTTTTCCATGTTGAACTTTGTGTAGGATCTAGGTGGCCGGGCTATCCGTGTAAGTCCTGCTGAAGCTCGTCCACCCAGACGTCAATTCTGAAGATTGTAGCCAACATCTTTTTGACCGAGAAAAGGCTTGAGGTAAACAACTCGTGTTCTCTCTTTTCCTGGGTTGTTTCTTGAGACTTCACATCTTGATATTTATTAATATATCTATGTTCAATTGTCATTCGATTAGAAGTTTCAAAAGTCGAACCAAAACATATGCTTCTGCTTATAAAAGTGAATAATTTACATGGCAGGGTCCAGGAGATGACGATAATTGCAGAAATGAATGAGTTATTAACTTTGCAACAGCTATATCTTAAACTTGCGCGGACAAACTACTCTCTACTTCTGGACTAACTAGAGCTCTCAAGTAAATTAGTTTTCGTAATGTATGTTCTGAAATTGCCTCAGGAAGATATCCCTGATCTTGTAATATGATTCTATCCATCACTTGTTGACAATCAAGACAATGAAAAAGTTTGATACTCTTCGAAAATGTATCTTAGCGCGAACCAATCCCTGTTCTACATATGAATTAGCTAGAATTGTGTGTTTGTTTGTGCCTATGCCTCTACAATTGAAGTGATTTTTAGTAAAACTTATAGTAGTTGATTTTGTATTGAAATTCCAGTGAAGATAAAGAACAGAACAATACTGAGTTATGTTCATCCTTTGATAATGTTGATTCTTTTTCTGTTTTTTGTAGACAAGTTTATGAAAATTTTTACTGTCTTTTTCTATGGAGTTGAATATTCACAAATTACTAAATCCAATTTATTCAATGGAATTCAAATAATATTTTGAAAATGTGGATCCATTACTTTGTCTTTTCTCCAAATTTTAGTTAAATTTAACATCAAAACAAAATACATTCAAATATTCAATATTTAGTCCTGTTACATGATTCTTAACAATGTTCACTAGTTCAAAATCCATAACAATGTTCAGACATATAAACATTTTCAAACAATATATATATATATATGATTGCTAAGACCATACTCGCAATTTATGTATGACATGTTTCAAAGAATATATTTGATATGATCGAACTAATACACCCGTCCATACATAGTGTTTTGATCTAAGATTTCTATTCTTCTACAACAGAACGATTTTATCCTGAGCATGAACCATGTCTTCTACTAAGCAAAAATCTATCAGGTATATATGTATGAGAATCCTTTAATTTGTGGCTTAAGTACTAAAATCTTATGATATTTTGTTAAAGTTGTTTCGAAATGCAACACATTTTTGTACTAGTTTCTTTTCTATGTTGCTCGAGCTCTTCAAAAGTACTGTCAGGTGTGTGTCAGATCGTCCAAAAGTACATACATACAGGTCTGACAACATTTTTGAAAAGTACGAGCAATATAGTCGTGTATTTAATCAGTAGACTCTAACTCTAAGTCATGATCATCTCTGTTCAATCAGATTTCCAAATGACTTTGACATATCAAAAACTGGATCATACAATGTGTCGAAATTCCTCAAAGCTATCTCCATCAAGAACCACGAACAAACGTCTAGTTCAAACCTCGAGAAGGTAGAAATAGAGCCAAAAATGAAGGTGTTTCGAAAGAAAAAGCTTTCAAGAGTATTTTCAGAGGACTATGATGGGGTGCAATGGAAGATATTAGATCCGCGAGGACGTCTTATAAACATATGGAACAAATGTTTCCTTATTGCTTCTCTAACTTCTCTGTTTGTTGATCCATTGTTCTTCTATTTACCTAGTGTTGACGATGAAATCTGTATGGATGCAAGTTATCCTATGGAGATAGTCCTTACAATCGTTCGATCAGTCATAGATGCATTTTATCTGGTTCAGATTTTAGTTCAGTTGCGTACAGCTTACGTTGCACCTTCCTCTCGTGTTTTTGGAAGAGGTGAGCTAGTTATTGATTCTTCAAAGATTGCTTCAAGGTATCTGCGTAAGGACTTTTTGCTCGACATCTTGGCTACTCTTCCTCTTCCTCAGGTACAACTTAGCCCTCTACTTGTGTAGCTAAGTCGACTGTAGGATGGTCAGTTGAACAATCTTCGTCAGAAAATCATACTGTGTTTTATATAGATATGTATATCAAATCTTGAACATCTTTAACGAAATTTCTGTTTTCAGGTTTTGATTTGGGCTGCAATCCCATCTCTGAGAGGTTCGAATAGGATCGGTGCAAAACACGCCTTACGACTAACTATCATTTCTCAGTTCCTCTTGAGGCTATGTCTGATTTTTCCACTTTCATCTCACATTATCAAGACCACTGGTGTAATGGTGGAAGCTGCTTGGGCTGGCGCGGTTTATAACCTCGTGCTCTTCATGTTGGCAAGTCATGTAAGTTATACGTGATTACTTACATGTACTATCTACAGTCAAACCTCTATATAACGACCTTGGTTGTCTGGTTGTTATAGAGAACATATTATATTACAGAAAACGAATGTTATAGAGAGGTCTGACTTTAAGTTGTTGACTTATCGATCATTTTGTTTACGATTTTTGTTAAGGTCATGGGATCTTGCTGGTACCTTTTAGCTGTGGAGAGGCAAGAACAGTGTTGGAAGAAGATTTGTGATCAACAGCAACCATATTGCCAGTATTGGTATTTCGACTGCCAGAGGAAGAACAATAGCAGTAGAATCGCGTGGTACCCGTGGAGCAATATATCTACATTATGTGGTCCTAGCAGCAACTTCTTCCAATTTGGAATCTTTAAAGATGCACTGACTTATCGCGTTACACAGTCATCGTTCTTGAACAAGTATTCGTATTGTTTTTGGTGGGGATTAAGGAACCTAAGGTAACGAAATGTAGCTAAACATCTGTTATTTTTCGATTTAATGTTTCAACTTTTTGTAATCGAATATTTGCAGCTCTATTGGGCAGAATCTCCTGACTACTACTGACATTAATGAGATAAATTTCGCGGTTGTTCTTGCAATTCTTGGATTATTGCTATTCGCATTACTTATTGGGAATATGCAGGTAAGTTTTTAGATGATAAAGGGACATAGTTTTCGATATCTTAGCACTGAAAATATGTTAATTTTTTATACTAGACCTTCCTTCAATCTACTACTATGAGACTCGAAGAATGGAGGATTAGGAGGACGGATACAGAAGAATGGATGCATCATCGTCAACTCCCTCACGATCTAAAGGAGAGGGTCCGGAAATATGATTTGTATCGTTGGGTTACAACACGAGGTGTTGATGAAGAATCCATTGTTAGAAGCCTTCCTGTTGATCTCAGAAGGGACATCAAACGTCATCTTTGTCTTGATCTAGTTCGTCGAGTGAGTATCATATATACTTCTGTCAGACTCCCTCTGTCCCAATTTATACGTCTTACTTACCTTTTTGGTATCTCGTTCTATATTTAGTTAAGTTGGTCGTGTAGGTACCTTTGTTTGATCAAATGGATGAGTGTATCTTAGATGCAATATGTGAAAGGTTGAAACCACTTCTATACACCGCGGGAACTTGCCTAGTTCGCGAAGCTGATCCTGTGAACGAAATGCACTTCATTATAAGAGGACATTTGGATTCCTACACTACTGATGGAGGAAGAACAGGTTTCTTTAACTCGTGTCAGCTCGGTCCATGTGATTTCTGTGGTGAAGAATTACTAACATGGGCACTAGACCCTCGTCCGAGCATCATCCTTCCCTCCTCTACACGTACAGTAACCGTACTCACTGAAGTAGAAACGTTTGCATTGGCTGCAGAAGATGTGACATTCGTGGCATCACAGTTCCGTAAACTGCATAGCAAACAGTTAAGGCATACATTCAGGTTTTACTCGAACCAGTGGAGGACTTGGGCCGCGTGTTTTATACAAGCAGCCTGGTTTCGATACAAGAGAAGGAAAGAGGCTGCTGCGTTGAATAAGGCGAAACAGTGTCCCCTGGCTCCTCCTCTGCCTACTGCACCACGAGATGAACGAATCAGAAGCGTGTCGTTGGGACAAAAGGCTTCAGAGTTTGCTGTGTATGCTGCAACATTGGCAGCAAGCAACAGAAAAGGTGCAAGTATGAGAGGAGAACTAGAAATCATTAGTTCATTACAAAAGCCTGTGGAACCTGATTTTTCCGTTACGGATAGATGAACGCAAATGCTCGAGCCAGGATTTTAAGTTCATGAGTTTTGAACACATTATTAATACATATTGAATGTATTTTTTCAATACAAATGTAGGATTCGAGCCAAAGTTACTGAGTTTTGCTGAGCCATATTAGACTGTGAATATGAAATACACTATTGTTGTATCATAAAAGTTACATACTAGTTGAACATTTTCCTAAAAATTGTACGTATATTTTGATCCTATTGGTAAACTAGTTGGCCGAACGATATATATTTGTAACTTTAAGATTCTATTTTTTCTGGTGTCTGGACCTTTGGGCTATTTACTAATTGAAGGCCCAAACTCAAGAATGTGGCCTGGCCCAGTTTATGTTCAATAAAACATTTGGGCTTTTTAATTAAGCATGAAATTCATATGTTTTGGCTAGTGAGAATGAGAAAAATAAAACTTGAAGTTACTTAGAATTTAGTTTACTGAGGATACGACCCTATAAAGAACGATACATAGCCGAGTAATTGTTTAATGATGGATTTAAGCTAATATACACACTCATGGAACAACTTTTTTTTTTAATTATTATTATACTACATCATCAGTATAATTTAACTGATCATATTTAAACATTATTTTATCTTCAATGCGATACTTCTCAAAACAAATCTATATTATTTATCTATCAAAAGTGAATACTAAACACCAGACGAAAATAAAAAAAAAAAGTTGAAATTTGACAGTTAATACCGTTAGGATGTCAAAAAAAGAGTTAATAATGCCTTATTACACCCAATAAAGTCTACCAAAAGCAAACCACTTATATGTCTTTATCAAAATATCAATTATTCTCATTAATTACTTTATAAATATCATTAGTATTTTTATACTGTAATTACGGATATAATTACAGAAAAAAAATGTTTATCATCAATTCATCATCATTATTCTCCATAATTTTTGTTGGTATTGTTGTCATCTTATAAGGATAAGTTTATTAGGAATTATAATAATTTAATTTGAGAATTAATATTGATTGGATATCTACCAATAAATGACGAGATAACAATATTGAATATATATAGTTAGACTGGAAAAGATAGAATTACCTCTCTAGACTATATATGACTCACAGAGATATAACTTAATAAAATTAAGATTTGATTATCTTCTGGACTCATTTTTTCTTTAGATTTCGTATACATTTTTTACTTACGTAATATTCAAATATCTCACGTGTGTTTTGACTGTTTAGAGTCGCAAAGCGTTTTTTTTAAACCATGCATGTTTTTTTGGTCTAAAATGGCGGCCATTCCATGCATGCCTATGAAAGCTATTTATCAAGAAACATGAAACCAATATGTTTGCTTTCTTTCGGGATCGAGTTTTTGGATATTAAGTTGTTTTTGTTAAGAAATGTATTATTTCAAATTTCAATTAGACTCTAATATAGATATTAAATATCGAAAAAAAATTCAAAATTCAAAATATTAAAAAATAATATTTTTTTAATTTACTTTTTTTTTTCCTTTTGAAATTGAAATCAATTACTCCCTCCGTTTCAAAAATGATGATTTAATTTGACTTGGAACGGAATTTAAGAAAAGAAATAAGACATTTTAATCTTGTGGGTCAAAATTAAAGTTATGTCAAATGTACCAAAATGTCCTTTAATCTTGTGATCTTAAACATGTCACGTGGAAAGTTAAAGATAAAGTGTTGCCAAAAAAGAAAATCGATCATTCTTTTTGAAACAGACTAAAAAAATAGAATCATTCTTTTTAAAACGGAGAGAATAATTTTATTTTTTTTTACATTTCCTTACTCGTATATTTAGGTAAATTTCAAAAAATAGTTATATTAAAGAATAAAAATAGTTGAAATCAGACTTCTAATATCGAATCAAAACAAATTAGAATAAAAATTATAACCTTTCGATATACTTAACATGATTTTCTTTTTGTTTTCTAAGAAAAGGCTCAATTCTTATCAATTTTTTTTTATTGTTCTTCCATTATTCGGTTAATTAACTAATAAAACTTCTTTCATCTTCATAATAATTTATATAATAATATATAAATTTCTTAAATATTTTAACAAAAAGATTTCACATTATTTTTTTTAAAATCCAAAATAACTCAAAAAGAAAACCAATGAGAAAATATTCAAAGTGGGACCTCTTTAACCACCGAAAGAGTTCTCTCTTTGCCATATAGAAACTCATTTTATACATTTTTTAAATTTGTTTTAATTCTACATTTTCAAGAAAATAATAAAATAAATACAAAAAAATATAACATTTAAAAGGAAAAAGAAGAAGAAAAAAAAGGGCAAATAAAAGTTGGTCTAACTTAATAAAGGGGTCCATAATTGTTTGCAACTTCACTAATGTTGTTCCCCTTTTATGTCTCAAACCTCATGAGCTTGTCCACTTAATTTTCATCATATTTTTTTTATTTTTGGAATTTTATATGAAAAAAAAACTCACTTTCTTTTTCATGGGATTTTGTGTCATATTTGTACTTTATATTTTTTTTTTTAATTAAAAAATCAATTTTTTTTTAAATTGTTGGTTTGATCAATCAAAGCATGCATAAAGTTTTTAAAGCAATGTGCTTATTATGATCTCTTTTGCATGGCTGACCAACATCTTCTTTTTTTTTTCATAAAGAAATATTAGGTTCATAACTAACTAATATAATCCTTTTCTTTTAAAAAATTTAACCGACTTTTTTATGATTACAATAATATATTTAACGTGATTTCATAAGTCTAATCTGAAAAGAATAATATGTATGTATATATATATATATAATTTTCAATAATTTTCAACTCATATGAATCAGTCATTCCAACCACTAGTTTTATCAATATATTTTTGCTAATATGTATATATCTAAAATTTACAAAAAAGATTATTAATTCAGATTCACGTATAAGAGAAATGTTTTTTAAAAAAATAAATGATTGGTAGTATGAAATGACACTTTTCATTTTAACTTAGATAAGATGATTTATGATAATATAAAATCTACTATTCATTTAAATTATATAATTTTATCTTTAAAACGTTTCGTATATTTAAAGAACATGCATATATGTAGGAAAACATTCCTAAAATATATTAAGAAAAATAAGAGGACTTTATTTATCAGACACATCATGTTATATCTACTATTGTTTATTACAACAAAAAAAGCCTATAATTATGTTTAAAATAATATTAAACTAACATTCAAATCCATCTTGACCCAACATAGTAGTAGTTATAAGTTGCTGCTTAGTAATTAGTATCTTATTCTTCAATAATATAATATCTTAATTGTTATTTGTGATTGCTTTATTTATTTTGTATTTTGTTATTTCATTGTCATCTTTTTTACTTTGAAAAAACTCCTTTTTTGAACAAAATTTTTTATCAGAAATTGTCTCTCTACGGCTATATACTACACAAAAATAAGGATAAAGTCTATGTACATTTGAATTACATTTTTAATTTGTTGAACAAACAATTGCACTAGTACTAACCTACTTATAGATTAATTAATAATAAAATAATAGTAAATACACCTTCCACTATCAATATGATGGCAACTCACTCTTTAATTTCCTACTAATTTGAATAAATAAATCAGTCAAAACAAGAAAAGTAACTTTAATTATTCCCATTAAATTAATATTAAAAAAAACAAGAATTATTATCAAACATGATCATGATTGGTTTTATCTACTACCTTAAGTTATTACATCTTGCTTAAAATTAACCATTTTTTGTTCTCTTTTTATCTTTAAGTCAAAGATAATCAAGGTTTAAAAGTTGTAAGGGGAATCATTATAGTCACAACTTAGACTTCTTTAACATGATTCAAACACTACTAGCTATATACTTAAAGCCAATGCCTAGTAACAATAAAATAAAGAGCGTAAGTTATATATATCATCAGTATAAGCAATCTTTTATGTTATCAGATTATTTTATTTATTAGGAGTAACTTATTGTATTTTCAAATTTACAAAATTCTATGTTTCTAATAAGTTTATCTGTAAGTATGTTTTCAATAACCTAATAATAGTGTAAAAATATATTCTGAACTGACGATTTATATAATTTAAATTCTAGGATAATTTTTTTTTTGAAATAAAAATGAACGTTAACCTATTTTGAAAGCAAACATGCTAGCCATGCACTCATATAAGTCTCACTTAATAATCATTACCCAATGAAAGCACTCTAAAGTTTAGGCTTTTTTAATTTTTCCAAAGTGGAACCTTCTTAGGTCAAAAAAAATATATTTGTCTCACTTTAATTTGCACTTTATTTAATTGGTCTACATATATCACATGTTAAAAGAAAATGTTCTTTCCACAATTTTTGGATAATTTGTAGTCTAGTCAAACACTCACCTTAGAGCAAAATAGTTTCAAAATTAATTTGCTTCTATTTCCAAGATAATGGAACCACAAGTATATCAAAAACCTATCGCTCTCTTCGTTCACTTTTATTAGTCTATTTTAGACTTAGTTAAATATATACTATTATAATATTATACGAGAAATGTGTTTTACTTGCCTCCTACAAGACACATTAATGATACATTTCAAGGGATTACGTTAAACTCGTATTGTTATGCTATTTAAACTATATATAGTATTATCGTAAGAATTTTGTAACAGATAATTTGTTTTATTTTAATGAGTCTACCTATAAATATTATTTGATTGACTAGTCATAAATATAAGTAATTCACTTTTTTTCCTTCTACTATTGCTTTGAGACAAAGGAAAACAAAAAGAGGAAAAGTTAAAAGGAGTTTAAAAATGTAGGAAAAAACTTAAACATTTTGGTAGCTTCTTCTTTGACCATATCTTTTTTTCAAATATAAGGCTGAATATAATTAAGCAAAAGCATATGAAAATATATAAGCCAATCATATAAAAGTTATTAGCCATATCTTGAAAATTTTCATCGAACGAAAAATACAAAGTAAATCAGATATATATATATAGTATACAATGTTAAAATCAATAGAAAATCTTATCTTTTGTATGATATTATTCCATTTCACATCCTCCTCGATACATTGGGTGGCAACGGACATATATCATGCATGCACGCACACATAAGTTCAACCTTAAAATATCGCGCTCTATCGAGTTTATGAATTTTGTGAAAAAAAAGTGATACTTATGTGATGAAAAAATGTGTCATCATGTTGATTAATGGAGGTA